GAACTCACAGTTGATCTCTCTGTCAAAAGGAATTCAGAGATGTTTGGAGTGCTTAACCTATGAGGCCAATTCCATGGAAGAACTCTACCTTCTACTTCACAGACAGAACACTGGGCTAGATAGGATGCTTGTCTGGCCCAAAGTGGAATTTCTTACCATCTGTATACTCCCCCAAGACCCACAACAGATGGTTACTGAGTTGAAGCTTGCCACTGATCCTTAGTGATGTCTCTGGGAGCTGGCACTCCAGAAGCCCAGGTCACGGGAGCAAGGAAAAGTGGAAATGGGAACAGAGCTCTGACTCCTAGCCCCGTATTTGATACTTACTCCCTTCAAAATCCTGTCCCTGGACTACAAATTGAGTTCCCAGTTAGAAATCAGAAAACCATGGAACATGAGTTGCATTTCTAAGATGTGCCTGAATTTAGTATGATGTTTAAGAGAAAAGGGCAGTGGCAAGAATGAGGAAAGGACAGATTCTTTTTTTTTTTTTTCTTTTGGATCTAAGAGTGGACTGATGATGCAACTGGCAAGGCACAAGAGGCCTTCTTACAAATCAAACATTGAGACTGAGATTCCTAATGACTAGAGTGAGCTCAAAAGAGAAAGGTGGCTGGGCACGGTGGCTCACACCTGCAATCCCAGCACTTTGGGAGGCCGAGGTGGGCGGATCACTTGAGGTCAGGAGTTTGAGACCAGCCTGGCCAACATGGTGAAACCCCATCTCTACTAAAAATACAAAAATCAGACAGGTGTGGTGGTGTGCACCTGTAATCCCAGCTCCTGGGGAGGCTGAGGCAGGAGAATCGCCTGAACTCGGGAGGCTGAAGTTGCAGTGAGCCAAGATCGCATCATTGCACTCCAGCCTAGGTAACAAGAGCGAGACTGCATCTCGAAAAAAGAAAAAAAAAAAAAAGCGGGAGAGAGAGAGAGAGAAAGGTGAGTTTGTGGACCTACTGGACAAACAGGACATGGGACATGGGGGCCTGAAACACTGTTTTACAGACAGAAGAACACAAAGGGTAATGCAGCCTGCCATTCTGTTACTTCCTTTCTCCTCTATCCCTTCTTCCCTCCTTGGGAAACCACAATAGCAGAAGTCTCATTCAATCAAATAGCTGTCAATTATATGAGTTGTACTTTTCTCTTCCTCAACAGCAAACTGGCTTTCCTCCTTTTTGTCCTCCTCTTTCTGCCTATAGAGCAATTTCCTCCTGTCCACTTTTCAGGGCCGATAGCTCAAATACAGTGCTATGGTGATGACACCCACTCCAAGGGCAACGGTAATAATGACAAAGAGGGCAGAGCTGATTCCTTCATCTAGTCCTGTCCAAGCACAGAAGACAGAGTTAGGAAGGTCTGAAAGTACAAGGATCACCCACCCCAGCCCACCAGGCCCACTTCTGAGTCTCATTCTTCCCAACCTAGTAGAATCTTTCTTATTTTCATCCTTGGATAAGAATTCCAAATCCCTAAGGAGTTTCCCATCTCCTGGGCCTGGCAGCAGAGCAGCAAAGTTTACCTTGAACAATGACAGCAATGTCTTTGCTGACAGAGCCCAGCTGGTTAGTGGCTGTGCAGCAGTAGGTTCCGGTGTGGTTCTGGGTTGCATTCTGTGGCACTTCAAGGTCAAAGACCACCCCATTCCAGGTACACACCAAGGCTGGAGCTGGGTTTCCCTTTGGGACGCAGGCAAGCGTGTGTTCCATCCCTTCCAGCCAGGTCTGTTTGCCAGGGCAACTGGATTCCTCTAGCCGTGGCTTGTCTGCAAAACCAGAGTTTCCCAAAGAGCTGAGTTCAGTGCACCACACTCCCTCACTACCTTCACACCCTGCTCCCTCTCCTCACCCAAATGCGGTCCCCTCCATCCAACAGCTTTCCTTACCAAGGGAGCACTAGCAGCTCCCTACTTTGAGGCAACTCTTCTTTCCCATCTTCCCCATGGGCATGGAGTCCCAGATGAAACCTAGGGTGTTTTTGTTTGTTTGTTTGTTTTGAGACGGAGTCTGGCTCTCTCGCCAAGCTGGAGTGTGTGCAGTGGTGTGATCTCGGCTCACTGTAACCTCCACCTCCTGGGTTCAAGCGATTCTCCTGCCTCAGTCTCCCGAGTAGCTGGGACTATAAGCAGTGCCCCCACGCCCAGCTAATTTTTGTATTTTTAGTAGAGACGGGGTTTCACCATGTTGGCCAGGATGGTCGTTAACTCTTGACCTCGTGATCCACCAGCCTTGGCCTTCCAAAGTGTTGGGATTACAGGTGTGAGCCACCACGCCCAGCCAAAACCTAGGGTGTTTCTATAAAAAAGATTCAGACTAAATGATAACCCTGCTGTGTCCGTGGTGGCCCTGTGCCCCTGCTTCCCATCTTTGCTTCTCAGTGGGTAAGGAGCTAGGTAGTGGTGAACTCAAGAGATGAGGATTTTTCTACTTTTCTCTTTTTTTTTTTTTTTGAGACGAAGTCTCGCTTTGTCACCCAGGCTACAGTGCAGTAGCGTGATCTCAGCTTACTACAACCTCCGCCTCCCAGGTTTCAAGCGATTCTCCTGCCTCAGCCTCCTGAGTAGTGGAATTACAGGTGCCCACGACCACACCCGGCTAATATTTGTATTTTTCATAGAGATGGGGTTTCACCATGTTGGTCAGGCTGGTCTGGAACTCCTGACCTCTAGCCATCCACCCACCTTGGCCTCCCAAAGTGCTGGGATTACAGGCGTGAGCCACTGCGCCCGGCCTATTTTCTCTACTCTTCAAAATAGAAATTTGTAGATGGAATTTTTGGATATTTCCCTTTTCAGCATAAACTCCCACTATCACTTCCTTTGTTCTCCTCGGCCATCGCCCTCAACTAACGTTGCCTGATCACTTTAACCCCTTTCCTTTATTTCCCCTCATCTGGTTCCCCACTCACTCTCCCAGGAGCAAGGCAAGCTTGGAGCGCTTTCCTTATATTCTCTCCTTTGATTTTTTTTTTTTTAATGAGAAAAACGTGGCAACTCTAATAATGAAGCACTGCTGGCCAAGAAGCTCTCTAGAAATGGGAAAATAATAATCCTTATTTTGACAAGAAAGATCAGGCCCCTACTCACATAGGACATGGAGCTGGATCACAGTGGTTTTCATCAACCACTGACCCTGCACCTCCAAAGAGGCCTCGCAGGAGAAATTTCGGCCATCATCTTCCTCTCTGGCAGTAAGTAGAAGCCAGGCAGGCTCCCCAGGGGCAGGGAGGTCTGGGGCTCCCTGAAGCCGAAGAGTAGGGCTGGGTGATGTTAATACATGCCCTGAGCAGGTCACATTAATGTCGGTCCCTGCCAATGGGTATGATTCTTTCAGCTCCAGGATTGGTGGAGGGAAGCCTGTAAGGAAAGGAAAAGGAGAACCAGATACATTTCTCAAAACTAGCAGACACTTCTGCACTCTTGCTGCTGGCAAAAGCCCTTGGGAAGGCAGACAACAGGGGAAAGACTTTGGATACCATTGCTTCTTCTGTAAAAGCTGAAGGAAAGAATGAGGTGGTTTGGGGATCCGAGAGCTTCTCTTATGCATGCACACATTTAGTTATGCTTCGCTGCAAGGACTGCAAGATGTCTTTTCATCTTACAGCTTTCCTCCTCACCTCAAATAAATGTTCCTAAAGTAGTTCGGGGCATCCACAATCACTCTGTAAGCAGGATAGCCTAAGGAAACTGGGGATGAAGTCTGGAAAGAACTACTGTAGCAATACATGTCCCCAATCTGCCTGCATTTACCAGAGAAAGATGAAGACTCATGTTCACTTGAGAGAGTACCCAGCAAAGGGCAGCAGGGATATCTACAGCCAAATCACTAACCCATTACTGTGTGTTTTCAGTTGCAGAGAACCCGTATGAAAAAGGAAGAGCCAGGTCACTTACTGTAGCTATGCACTAGCTTTCTTGTTTTCTGTTCCATTGGACCCAGAGATGCAAGGCAAGACAGTTCCTGATCACCAGCCTCCATGGCCCGAAAGGTAGCATTGGCCCATGCTGTGTCCCCCTCCCAGGAAAGGAAGGAGCTCAGCTCTTGGTCTTCCAGGAACATGTGGAATATAACTTCTTTGGCTGGAAACACCCTAGCCACCTCGCAGCTCACAGTCTCTGCCATCCCAACCTCCAAAAGGGAAGAGACCCAGATATGGGGAGTCTGAGAGAATTCTGCCAAAAAAATGAGGACAAGAAGAGAAAGGAGAAAAGTCATGAGAAATCATACGTCATGCAGGACCCTTCAAGGTGGGAAGGAAGTGGGGTTAAAATGTCTCTCTTCCCCAGGGTGAGCTTAAAGCCCAAGCAAAGGTGGAGCTCAGTTACTCTCACACCCTCACCCTAAACCCCATGAGAACTTAGTCCCAAAGGCCAAGGCAAGATGAGCCCCAGGATTCCTCCTGCACTTGAGTTCTGACTCACCAAAGATCCGGAGTATTTTGATGGGTGAGCTGCCTTGAAAGAGGCTCCCACCTTGCAAACTCAAATCCAATTCTGCACGGCAGGAAAAATTGCACCTGTCATTCTCCCTTTGGGCTCTGACACTGATGATGACCTCAGCTCTTTGGGAGGCCACAGCCAAGCTCATAAAGTTCTTTCTATGCAGTTCTTGGTTACCCTGGAGAAGGGCAAGGGTGAGGCTCTCCAAGGGTGCTACACTGGGCACACGACACTTCACTGTGAAGGCTTCATCCACAGCCACCCAGGCAGGCTGCACCTCTAGGATCACTTGCTCTGGTGGCTCTTTAAGACAAAAAAGCAGGGCTTGATGAGCATGCCATCCTCTTCTCCAGAAAGAAACGGCATAGGACAGGAAGATGAAGTGATACAAATCACAGAAGGTGACTGTCACCTTAAACCATCTGATCAGCAATGTCAGAATGTCAGCTTTCTGCCATCCCTGCCCTAGATGGGGCGAGTTAGTCTTCTGGCTCTTGTTCTTCCCATCAAAAGTGGCTAAGGCCATAGCCAAGAAGAGTGACTGCTGAGGGAGGGGCCCTTGCTTTGACTGTTGCTGCCATTCTGGAAAGCACTGATCTTTTACCAGAGGGGCTTCAGAGGCAAGAGCAGCTTCCGGGGGCTCCTTAGCATCACACAAAATCTATACTCTAGCAGGCCAGGTGCGGTGGCTCACGCCTGTAATCCCAGCACTTTGGGAGGCCAAGACGAGCGGATCACTTGAGATCAGGAGTTCCAGACCAGCCTGGCCAAGATGGTGAAACCCTGTCTCTACTAAAAGTACAAAAATTAGCCAGGCGTGGTGGCAGGTGCCTGTAATCCCAGCTACTCAGGAGGCTGAGGCAGAGAATTGCTTGAACCCGGGAGGCAGAGGTTGCAGTGAGCCAAGGTTGCACTACTGCACTCCAGCCGGGGCAACAGAGCAAGATTCCATCTCAAAACAAACAAACCAAACTATAGTTAACCAAGTTCTGACCCCACAGAGACCATACTTGCTTTCATGGCCATATCTTTGCCCATGTTATTTGCCTACCTGAAAGGTCTTCCTCACCTGTCCCCTTCAATTCAAACCCTAACCATCCTGGGGGAGGGCAGTCAGGAGCCTCCTCCACCATGGAGCCTTCTCAGGCTGCCCCAGTTCACAAAGACCCTTCTCTCTCCAATCTCTGTTTATTCCAATAGCTTGTAGCAAACAATTCAGCATTAATTTTATACTTTTTTTTTTAAGAGATGGGATCCCACTCTGTTGCCCAGGCTGTAGTGCAGTGGTGTGATCATAGATCACTGCAGGCTTGAACTTTTAGGCTCCGAGGATCCTTCCACCTTAGCCTCCCAAGTAGCTGGGACTACAGGTGCATACCACTATGCCTGGTTAACTTTGAAAACTTTTTTTGTAGAGACAGAGGTCTCACTATGTTTCCCAAGCTGGTCTCAAACACCTGGCCTCAAGTGATCCTCTTGCTTTGGCCTCCCAAAGTGCTGGGATTAAAGCACGAGCTACTGTGCCTAGCCTAATCTTATACTTTTTGGTAATTTAACCATAAACATTATTAGCATATGCTTCCTGTATTGAAGATATTTTCAAGCACAGATGTCTGGATGCTCTCTATGGTCTGCTCCTAATTTAAAACTCAGAAGAAAGCCTACATCAAAGGGAAGTAGAAGTGGGCCAGGCTCACTTCTACTTGCTGAACTTGAGGTGGCTCACGCCTGTAATCCCAGGACTTTGGGAGGCTGAGGCAGATAGATCACTTGAGGTCAGGAGTTCAAGACCAGCCCGTCTCTACTAAAAAAATACAAAAATTAGCCAGGCATGGTGGTGGGTGCCTGTAGTCCCAGCTACTGGGGAGGCTGAGGCAGGAGAATTGCTTGAATCCACGAGGTGGAGGCTGCAGTAAGCTGGGATCACACCACTGCACTCCAGCCTGAGCGACAGAGCAAGATTCCGTCTCAAAAATAATAATAATAATAAAGGTGATTGGATCTAGAATCCTTACAGTATGACAGAAATCTTTATTAAGGGCCTTAATTATCTCCCCTAATTAGAAACATTTGTCCCGTCCTTCCGTAAATAAGACATGTTCATGTTTCCCCATTCCTCCTTTCCATCCCCCTGCCCCCAGCCCTTAGCCCTACTCACGATACACAGTGATGCCAAGGCTTGTGTCCTTTTGAATCCCTGCACAAGAGAAGAAGCACTGCAGGATGGAATTCTCTGTTACATCCTCCAGAAGAAACTCTTTCCACTGAGGCCCTTTGCCCACCTGAGTTTTCTTTAAGAAGGTCTCTATTCCACTGGGTCCTGGGTCTGGGCAAGTAGTGCTGCAGTTGACCACTAGGGACTGTCCAAACTCCACCAGGGCCTGATTTGGCCAAACAGAAACCTCAAACGACTCTTCTGCGACCCCTGAAATATGAACTACATATGCCAACGACTCTGGTGAGGACCACGAGACCCAAACAAAATACAGAAACTATTCTATCTAGTTCTAGGTTAGAGAACAGGAAATCTGCCCTGAACAAAAAGGTTCAGAGGACCAGACAGGACAAAAGACCTGTAATTGGCTGGGCACGGTGGCTCGCACCTGTAATCCCAGCAGTTTGGGAGGCCAAGGTGGGTGGATCACCTGAGGTCAGAAGTTCGAGACCAGCCTGACCAACATGGAGAAACCCCATCTCTATTAAAAACACAAAATTAGCCGGGCGTGGTGATGTGTGCCTGTAATTCCAGCTACTTGGGAAGCTGAGGCAGGAGAATTGCTTGAACACGGGAGGCAGACGTTGCAGTGAGCTGAGATTGTGCCATTGCACTCCAGCCTGGGCAACAAGAGCGAAACTCCACCTCAAAAACAAAAACAAACAAACAAACCTGTAATTAACAAGTTAGCTCTGATTCCTCCACTATTCCCTCCACCTATCTTCTTTCTCGAGAACTTGAATTCTCTATTAATATCACCATGGAAATTATGGAGTTGCTAAAAAAATTATGCCCAGGAAACCAACATCTTCCTAAACTTTCAGAATTCTTGAAAGCGTCCCAGGATAGGCTGCTGCGGACCCTCACAGGATTCGAACTTCATTACTTATCCCTCAAAGCAGTGTCTCCCTCAAATTATGGCTAAGGATTCCCTTCGCCAGAATCACCCTGAATGCTTGTAAACTGCAGATTCCAACTCCATCTCAGAGTGCATGGTTTCAAACCTGTGAAGGTGGGAACTGAAAATATGCTAGGGAATAACAAGCCTGCCGGGGACCCTTATGCACACCAAATTCTCAGACCCATTGGTCTGCAGGTGACTCCCGGGTCACTCGTTTCCCATGCCTTTTCTTTATGCCTCTTCTCCGAGTGAGACCATTCCGTTTTGATTTGGTGCTGAGAGAATAGATGTTTTGGATGCCTACAAATTTTGTCTGTTCTAGAAATCTTCTCTGATGCAGTGGGAGATGTCAGATACATTTTTATTTTATTTTATTTTATTTTATTTTTGAGACAGAGTTTCACTCTTTTTGCCCAGGCTGGAGTGCAATGGCGCAATCTCAGCTCACTGCAACCTCCGCCTCCCATGTTCGAGCGATTCTCCTGCCTCAGCCTCCCAAGTAGCTGGGATTACAGGCACGTGCCACCATGCCCAGCTAATTTTGTATTTTTAGTAGAGACGGGGTTTCACCATGTTGGCCAGGCTGGTCTCCTGACCTCAGGTGATCCGCCAGCCTCAGCCTCCCAAAGTGCTGGGATTACAGGCATGAGCCACTGTGCCCGGCCAAGCCACCGCGCCTGGCCTCAGATGGATTTTAGATGCCTGATGTAAGTAAAGGGCACAGAGACTTCAGGAAGTCCTGAAGGCTTCTCTACAGGTCCCTTTTAGCTAGTCCATGTCTACCATCTACTTCACCTCCCAATGCCAGTCCCCTCTGGGAATACACAGCTCTTGTAGCAGTGTTACCTGCTAAGGCCCTTGTTCCTTTCCTGTCATCAGGAGAACTCACTTTTTGTACCTGAGCTATGGGTCCTGTCCTACCAAGGGCCTATTATAGTTCATCATGACACAAATGGTGGCAACAAAGAAGTAAAAACATTCTCAAGAGGAGAAATACAGGGCAGTCCTGGGGCAGTAGGGAACCAAGCAGAGAAGGCATGTTTCCTAGGGAGAGTCCTCTCTAATAGTCTATTAACTTGGGTTATCCCAGTTACAAGCCAGAGACCCTAAGGATTCTGTACCCTAGTGATCCAAGAGATAGGAATATTTCCCCCGGGTCCAGATGAACGAACACTGAAGTGTCACCCCACTTAGGACTCCCCACCTCCTTCCTCACTGACCAGCTACCTGTGTCCTGGCACATACTGGTTTAAAATGCTTTCCCAAATAGCCTCACCTGGGCAAAGGATCAAGGCCAGCAGGGCCCAGACACCAAACAGAAGCATTTTCATCCTGATGAGAATGGCCAAAGGCTGGAGAGAAAAAGACAGCAATGCTGGAGAAAGTGACCAAAAATATATATATAAGGAAAATTATTTCTTTGATATTAAGAGTCAGTCCCTTTCCTGAAATCTCACTAGTCTAGAAAAATTACAGCAAAAACATCAGCAGTGAAGGTGTACTAAAAGAATGTCTTGGGCTTGGCGTGGTGGCTCACGCCTGT